CACAGTCAGAAATTCCTGTTTTTATTTAAGGAACAATGAGAAGAATATAATAAAAGCACTATGTAAGGAAGTCCAAAGACCTTGTTAGACCTTGTTAGATAAAAGCTCACAGAAGCGATCTAATGTAAAAATTCCGCTCAACACTTGGCCCTTTTTTAGGAAACGACTTGGGCAGACAACAGTTTATTTTTCCATCCCTTTTCTTGAAGAGACTTCTCTTTCATAATCAGAGTAACTTCCCTGAAGAAGTAGAGCCAATGCAATGTCCATTTCCTCCAAAGATTTTTGTCCGGCAATTTTAAGTGTTAATCGTGATGACTGCCAGGCACTGAAACTGATGAAGAGCAACTCTTGAATGCTATCTTCTTTTCAGCTTCCAAAAGGTATGTGAGCAAGTCTTCCATGACAGAAAACAAAAAAAAATATATTTCTAAAACTACCAACCCCACTCAACTGATTATTCATACTCCGGTAGCACACAGGAATCATTGAGCATGTTCCAACCGCATTACATACTGTATCAAAACAACAAACCCTAGCTACTTCTCACATTTATGTTTAACAAGATCTATAGGTCCTGTATAACGGAGTGCTCTACGGCCAAAACTAGAGGCAGATAAAGGTTTACTGAAATATTTACAGGAATGTTTACACCAAACAGTCTTGTGTTCTGAGTTCCAAATTGCTCAGATAAACAAATATTTCTTAAACATTTCTATTATCCCAGTGACTGTGGAGTTACTCTGGTAGGAATGTGATTTTTCAAATAGGAATCTACAGAAGCAATTTCAAAAAGAACAATAAATACAATCTTAGATGAAAGAAAATGCTTTTGCCTTCTCATATAAGCTCTCCTAAACCCAAACAACAAACACTAAGCGATCAGACAGACGTTCATCTAGGAAAAATCTTCCAGTTAAGCTTTTACCAAACCTCCTTGCTAGCCATTTACTACCACAAAGTCTAACTTGTTTATTTAAACAGCTGCAGGAGGCATAGATGCAGGGGCTGACGAATGCTCATTAGTTCTGTTGACTTTTGAGAGGTGGGGCAATCTCCTTTAAAGGGCAGGTAACATCTTAAATACTAGCTGCCTGAAAAATCAACATTTACCTAAATTCTAAGGAATATTGTTGCTCTACTGAGTGATTAAAACAATATCTGAAGCCTAATGAGTTACTTCTGTTTGGAAAGGGAACTGACAGAACAAATTATTTCTTCAATGCAATTTTGTTTATTGACAGTGATTCCTCTTTCTCCGAATGCTACTGGAATAAACTGCACTTTCTTCGCACAGTAGTGTAAACTTGTCTTCCCGGCTATTAATGCTCCTTTCCAAAATGTCCTATGTTTTCTTCCCCTGCTCCCAAGCGTCATCTGACAAACATGGCTACCAAAAATTCTTTGTTTGTGTCTTTATTTTCCAAGCTGCTTTCTGAGGCTGTGGACAGACGTGCTAATCCAGGTCCAAGAGAGGTTTAGGTGAGTGAACCCCAGCTGTTTAGCTCAGGCCATCAATTCAAACCACGTAAATTGACTGCATTGGCACACATTGCTCCGCTGACAAACGTGCAGATAGCAATATCTAAACAAGAATGCATCAGAAGCTGGTATTGATGACTTCCACTGAAAATGCCTGAATCCAGAAGCGGGTGCCTGCCCAAATCCCGATACTCGTAGGTATAACCTCCTATAACCTAATTAACACTCTGGGCCCCTTGCTTGCTTCTCTCTCCTGTGTAAAAACCTCCTCCTTGCTGAGATGCTGCCTATTTCTGATCTATTCTGATAGGGGTAGCCACAGAACTGCACGGATAGGCAAGAGGGTGGACAAAAAGCTACTTCAGTTGGTGCACCCATAGCAAGAAAGCACGTTAATTTAACTTTTACATGACCAGCACTTTGGACCTCCTGGGTCACTGGTATTACTCAACGCAGAAGCTGAAATCCTTTACAGTTAGCCAAGGTCCGTGGCAGCAAGTGTTCCCACCAACCTCACCCAAGTCTGAGATCCCATAGAAACTTAAGATACAAATGCTGGCAGCTTCCAACATTCTCCATCCCCTGAAATATTATTCAATGAAATGAAACCTTTTTAGTTTAGTATCTGTTCTTTTCAAGAGGTCTCAAACAAATAACCACTAACACAAACAGTGTTTCATTTGCTGTTGCAACTGGTCTAACTTCTGTCAACCTCCTTTGTGCTGATAACCTAAAAATCCTGTAAGATAAAAACTAATCTATGAAAAGCCTATATATAGGTTGCTTTGGAGTCCTATTCTTGTGTCCATACCAATAAGGCTACTTAATTCTTAATTGTGCACAAATAATGTAACTTGTGTTCATATTTATATATGGCATAAACACACAGAACGTATGCAGGGACAGAAATATGAAGAAATATCTGTCTCCAAAAACTAATCCTAGCTGATTTATAAATAAGAGGAGAAGAAACCAGGAGTTTATTGAAGTTTACTTAACAAAGCTTCATACTGAGACTTACTCATAAACAGTATCACTATCAAAAGCACTAAGCCTGATTAACGATTTCCTCTTCCATGTGGATGCATGAACTTCTCTGAATGTTTATTTCTTCTGTCATATATTTGAAAGCACTTGATCAATTTTCAGAACTAAACCACTAAAGCAACAGTTCCTTTGACTGCTCTTTGATCTAATGTAATAACTTTAGCAGCTACATTAATCTAATGATTAAGTTTGCAATTAGGTAGCTCTTCTGTGTTTTAAGGGAGAGTGGGTAGACTTTGCTCTTCATTCTGTAACTACTGCACAAATGATTTCTTTTTTGAGCAAGTGAAATTGTTCTGAGGTTATTGAGCTTTGGCAATCCAGAACTATTTTTCCGTTTCCCTCCTCTTATCTTTAATTCGGTTTACTCAATAAAATGATTCTGAGTAATATCACTTTACTTCTAGTGTGTTTTGCTTCCTAGTTTCCAAACAAGTTTGTAACTTTGAATGCAAATAGTTGCAAAAAGACCCAAAAGTTATTTTTGAAATCTCTGAATGTGTGTTTTAAAGGAAATACAACTCATGTTAGGGTCTATATATCTCACAATCTCAATTAAACCTAAAATTTTAACCAAAATTAAGATGCCAGTAAAATTTACTATGGTTCCTTTCATTTGCTTTGCCACGGTGCTTGCTGTATACTGACCTAGTTATTCTCCTCTGAATACTTTCTCTACATATTATAGTAAATATATAAAGTAGAACAGTTTTGAACTTATGGCTATCTCTCCCAGACATTTTATTAGACGCTTGCTAAATATTCAACCATAATATACATAGTTATGTCCGTGGTTAAGAGATGAAAGCCTACATTACTTCACTCAGGAAATGAAGTGCAGGTTTCGGTCTTTTCATTGCAATATCCTTCAGTGCATGGAACATAAATGTGTTTGCAGTGGATTGTTCAACAAGCGGGTGATGCAATGGCTTACACAGCTAAGCCACTGTATGATTTCTAAGGCCACAGGGTTAATACATAGTGATAAACTATTCAGTTATAATTGTAGCTTTCATGCCAGTTAAATTGAGCACTGTGAATATTACACAGTTAAAACCTACTCTGTTATTTAACAGAAATTTGAATTTTGAATCCTCTGAACTCTAACTGTTTCAACATCTATTAAGTAATATTATCCCATGGCAAAAATCAAATGCTCAGGAATTTTAGCACCAGTAAAATTAAGTGAAACCTATTGGGGAGTAACAAAGGTAGGAAATCTTCAAGAAGGTTGTACATAAAGAAGCATCATCTCATATAAAACAATCACCCAGTGACCAGTTCCCAATTGTAGTTGAAGAGTAAGTAAAGATGTAATCAGGACAATTTTTCAAAAAATAACAGGTTTATTTATTTTTTCCACAGCGTAAACGCTATTAATATGATGGCAGTTTTTTAATTTCAGGTTTGAGTTTTCTAGACCTCTTATGGTCCTCACTGTCTGGAAATCTTAGGTTATAAAAAGAAAGGGATCAGCGAGATGACTTTTTATGATCTCCAATACGACACAGGGTGAAGGACTTCTCTGAACAATGGCAATCCCCACTTCTTGCTTTAAAAGCTCTGGGACAAATTTCTATGATGTCATTTAAACATCATTAACTTTCCACATGAAAAGATAGCCCACAATCAAAATGACATAATCTGAAATATGCCAATGCTAGAGTGCTAACAAACAAAATGTTGCAGCTGCCCAAATTCCACTGCAATTATTTTACACACAGGTGAGAAGTGTAACAATCAAAAATAAAGGGTAACATGACTGAATTTGCCTGCACCCAAATATCTTTGATACTGTGAAATTCACCTTACCATAAGGTAAAATAACTGCTACTTAAGTTAACAAGTATAAGGCAGTAACAAAGCCACACTTACTAATTTCTACACAAAGTAATTCCTATATATTTATTTAAGAATGTCCTTTTGAAAGTAATACAATCTTGATTTAAAAATTTTAAATGACATCAAATCTAGCTACATACTGTTGCAAGCTGTTAGACAGTTTTGCCTACACAGTTTCAGTCTAGGAATGACTTTTAGCTCCTAATGACAGCACAGTATTATTTCTCATTCAATATATTTTCCCTACGCTAACGTGTCTTTACTATCACTACCAGTGCATTAATTCCTGCCAAGGATTTTAGGTATTCCCGGGTTATGTATAGCATTAGTCCTCATTATTGACACCTTTGAAAGGAAGAGTTACAAGTGTGAAATTACCAGAAAAACTTCCCCAGATGCCTTTGGCGTTCCATAAGGCAGGCAGTACGCTATCGATGTGGATCTTCTCCTTCTCCAACTACAATCAGGATTTTGTGTTTTCCAAGTGCCATGGCCACATCAAAAATACATTAAGCACTGGATAAAAATAGCTAAAACATTTAAATTGTTTCCTGTAATTGTATTTTTCCCTTTTGAACTTGTATCTTCAAGAGGATAGACATTTGTGCCTGAGGCAAAGAGTTACTCACTGTGAACAAGGAAGCAAAAATCTTTCCACATCAGCAACAGAGTAAGCTTTGTGAAGCCTTCTGCATCATATTCCACCACACCACTATCAACAAAATATACAAAAAAAATGAATACAATTTTTACCTACCATTCATTCTAACACTGAATGATAAATATGTAAATTCTGTATTACAGGGATTGGGTGGTTTTTTTTGTTTGTTTGTTCAGAAACTTCCAGTATTTGCTTTATTCATTAACAGTTACAATTTAATAGCTAAATTAAAATTAGCTTAAACTTTTAATCTTAATAATCTTCTTATTTATGCTGTGGTATTGGAGTTTCTTACCCGAAGAAAGGCCATATTCAGTTTATATAAACAGACTTTAGAATGAAAGGAGACCTGCTAATGCATCTGCAGTACTAAATTGATAAAAACTGCACACACAAATTCCCTGTATGTTACTCAGATTAAGATAGTTTATTGACTATCGTAAGTGACAGGGTAAAACTAAAACTGTGCAGACTGAGAAGAGTTTAAATTTGAAAATTCAGAAGAGTATATACAAAAAAAGCAAAGCACGAGATCATACGAAAAATCAAATATAGAAGACTTGTTCAGTAGACAATTAAAAATTTCAACCATCAGGACTTGGTATTCCCTAAAAGTCTCAAGCAGTATCAGGACTCATGAATCACTTCACAAGTGAAAAAAAATCATAGGCACACCTGGGCCATTTCCATACTGTAGTTTTCTCAGAAGAAAAAGAAATATCTTGTTTTCATAAGGATTGAGCTTGCACTGACTGTCTGTGTACTCATATATCCAATTCAAGTCATTGTTATCTATCTAGAGTTGTATAAAATTTGGGTGCATGCTAGGAGCCGCTTGTCTTCCTACCCTCAACTTGGGAGACCTGAGATTTGAAGGGCTCCCGAATATCCACGTCATTTGGCATCACCATCAGAAGCAGAAACCCCCTCTTCTCACAATGAGGTAAAGCACCGCTGGTCAGGCAATCACTGTCGCATCGGCTCCTGGACTCTCGCTCAAGTCACGTTTCAGGTGGGAACCCAAAGTGCCCACCCTTCACAGTGCCAAGGGACCCCTCATTAGTTGATTTGTGAAGCTAATGTGTCATCATGCCAGGACATGGACCTTTGAACTGCAGGAATTCAACACAACCCAACAGCCCTCTCTCTCTCTCTCGATAAGATACTGCTCAGCAGTGGGAGCAGCTGGTCTCCCAGTCCTGCCTTCATGCCCAGCAGTGGTTTCTGGCTCCTGCACGGCTTGGAACAGTACCCACTTCCCTGTCCTCCCACCTCAGTTGCTGTTACTGTAAGACCCCTCCAGTCATTTATTCAGAAATGAGCACATTTCTTTTGCACAAGGAGAAAATCCCTACTGTCCTTTTCCCGTCAGCAGCTATTTTCTAGTAAAAGCAGATTGGCAACTGGCACAGAAGTGAAGTAACTTCATTCCAGTACTGCTACAGAGAGACAATCTACACACATAATTCTGTGAAAACTGACCAGATTTCATCTTATCCGATGGACAGCAGTCACATAACCAAAGATCATGTGCAGAAAACAACACTTTCCCCCATGCTACAGAAAATAATGCATCAAAAGAAAACTTACGTTCCAAAGTGACTCAGGAAAGCTGCAATATACTCTCTTCTCTTATGGTATCCCTGAATAACATATTGTACCTTAAAAAAGAAAAAGAAACAAATCCAGAGCTATAAAAAGATAGAAAAAGCCAATGCTCCCAATTCGTCATATATTCCTTGTTAAGGAAGATTTGTTTGACATGGTAGTAGTTCTGAATCCTACGTTTAGCTTGTATGATTTCCCTAAACAATCCTAAAGTGCCTTTAAAACAAACAGTGGATCTTACGCACAGAAAATCTTGTAAAGAAATCTCTTCTGAGTGAAACTTAGTCTTTCACAATATATTGAAGCGCTGTTTAACTGCGCAAGATAGAGTGAAGAAAAGAAACGCGCGACCTTGCCTCGCTGAAGTTTGAGCAGGAAGCCACGATAGGCAAATCATAATTACCTGAACTGACAGTTGGTTAAGTGTCAAAATAACATTCTGGTTATAAAAGAAAAGAAAAAAAATAATTTCACAACCGATCTTGGGTGTTTTCTAAAGACTGCACCTCCAACAAAATCTTCTTAACACTAAGCTCTCTCAGTGGTTTCGTGCTGACTCAGGGAGCCACCTACTCAACTGCGAGCATTGATTTCTGAGGCATTCTGGGTTTTGAAAGACTTCCATCCTGGCACAGACAAAATCCAACCATGCTAAACTTGGAAGACTTAAGGCAAAATTCTTCTCACACCATGTATGTTTTCTTATTGATTTGAATGGGATTACTTAGCAGAACAGTGTGAACAGGGTTTGACCCATAACAGAAACAATGCATGTGTTGTCAAGCTGGAAGAGCATCTGGCTTAGAACTGGTTCCTTCAAGGACTTATGGTATGGTTCCTTATATGATTCCCTATCTACATTCGCTTGCCTTTCAGAATGCAAACTAACATTTTTAAAGCTTTTCTTCTCCCACCGAACATGAAAAGAACAGGAATAATATTTTTCTTGGCTATGGTAATACGGGAGCTCCTTGGCTGGCAAACGCTTTCCCAAATTTTTTGAAAAAGCCTTGATACAATCATTGCTGAGAGGTATCTTGTACCCCTTAAAGTCAAATCCTATTTATAAATTGAGACTTATTTCATTTTATAAAAAACTATGATTATTTTGAAGGCTTTATGTGGGATCTGAAATGTTATTTTGGGAAAAGGAAAACATATGATAAGTTTGCTTAAGGGACTTTGTTTAAGAAAGGATAAAAACAGTCCTGTATACTTGCAGATTTTAAAAACAGAAAGTAATTTTAACTGAAAACCACAACAAAAACAACTCTAAAGATAGATTCCAATATAATTATGGAAACACATTTTGAAGAACTTTTTCTAAGAGATAGAATTATTTTTCTTGTTTGGACAAATGAAGGTAAAAATAATATACAAATACAAATAGGAGGTCTGTAATAGGCAGATTCCTAGATGTTGGCCCGTAAGCTTTCTTTTGAAAATTACACTTAAATAAAGGAGAAGCTTTCAAAATAATATACTCACTCTTTTTTGTTTAAACAGTAAGCTAACCGGAACACAACCTTTTCAGCAACCTTAAGTAGCTATTACTGTGTAAACACCCAAATAGACTGCTGATTCAGTTCATTTGGATGAAACATCTGAGAAGAAAATCACTGAAAGCACTCAAAACCTACAATGGCAACTATGGTATGAGAACTTAGATATCTTCCGACTGAAAAAATAATACTACACATTTGTATTTACTTGCAAAATAGTATGCTACAATGCAGTGTTGTACGATACATTTTATCCCAAATCATAACAAGTCACAGTAAGAAAAATCCACTCCAAGATCTGATCCCAAACATGCTTGTTTACCTAAAAGAGTCATTATATTCAATGCCCTGCTCACGTGCTCAGCTCTTATCAAGAAGGTATTCCTTGAGTAGTCCACCTTAAGTCTGCCCTGCTTGGGACTATCTGGCAGTAGAAAAACTATGTCTACGGAAATGATATAGTGTGTTACTGCAATACAGTGCAGCACATAAGGGAAAGGAAAATTGAGTTCTCTTTACGAACTTACTTACCTTGTTTGTTAGCAGCTGGCATACTTGGGGTACGTAGTCGATAAGACAACCTCCACCAGGAAAGGCTGGGATATGAAGGGCAGATGATCCTCCAAGGGCACTAGAAATAGAAGTTAATTTAACAGTACATTACACGTACAGTCCCCGGGATTTGAAAGTGATTTCTACAGTGTCCTTTTTCCCTACGCTTAAAGTCAGAGGGCCATGATTGAAGAAGCGCCTTTGATGCTGTGGTGATACAAAAAGTATTGAATGATACCATCTATAAAAACAGGTTATACCATGATCCGCTGCAATTCAACAACTTTAATCAAGAGTAACACTAATGCAAAGTATTCTCTCAGGAAATAGCTTTTTCTTTGTAAACAGTTCTATTCCTTAGCCCTCATCAATAAGATGCGGAGCACTGTAGTTAAGATATCTTGTTACAGCTGGAGGAGAGGACTTTGAGTCTTGAATTATTCAAATTGCCACCTTCAGTGAAACCAGCTAAGAATAATCAAAATAATTTGGACTGAGGAGAAACAAATGGTCAGATGCACATCAGCCATGCTATTTACTCCAGTTTAGGGCCCCCTAAAACAAGACAGATGTTAACCTGATAGATCAAGGGAGCAGTGGGGCAGACAGATTGTTAGGAACACGATGTAACAGGGAATGCTGAAAGAAATGGGTTTGTTCAGTCTTAAGAGAAGGCTGAAGAGGGGGGAATATTGAAGAGGGGAGTTGAAGGCATGTTGTTATTGAAGGCACATTGATGCCTTCAATTATGTAATGGAAAAATATGGAGAAGGTGGAGCCAGAGTCTTCTCAGAAGTGCACAGTGACGGGATGAAAGGCAATGCAGACATGTTGCAACAAAGGAAGTTCTGGTTAGCTATTAGGAAAAACATTTTCACAATGAGAGTAATCAAGTCCTGGAAGACAGGCCCAGAGGGGCTGGGGAGTCTCCATCCTCAGAGGTGCTTAAAGCTCAGCTGAACAACTGCCATGAGCAACCTGATCTAAGCTGGCCCTGCTCTGGAGAGGGGCTTGGGCCAGATAACCTCCAGAGGTTCCCTCCAGCCTACATTGTTTTATGATTATATTCCCTAATTCTATGATTATTTTCATCCCCAGAAGTAAAGAATATGAACCAAGACATTAACTCTGTCTGTGCAGAGTCTGGAAATCTGAATGATAGGAATTCACAGAAACAAGGTAACTTTGGAGATGTATTTCACCATAGAATACCAGGTTGGAAGGGACCTCAAGGATCATCTGTTCTAACTTTTCTTGCAAAAAGTATGGTCTACACAAGAAGGCCCAGCACCCTGGGCCAGTATTTAGGCACCTTAATCAATTGCCTTTATCACAGGAAGGAATACTGAAGCATGCCTGCTATTGCTGAGGATAATAGCTGCTTTGGTGTGGAAGGATCTAGCACTTGTTATTTAAATCAGGTTGTATAAGGCAACAACCAGCTAATGTCCATGCTACTTTCTTTTAGCAGTACTGACCTAAATCTTTCTTATAGTCTTTTACCAATCAAAAGAGATATGGATTTGCTTTACACATCATTCACTGAACACCTAGAACTTTGCTGGGTGCAATTAAAAAGCTACAAAATCTAAATTACATTGTGGCCTCCTGTTTACATGCTGTTTCCATGAAAGATTAAACTGGCTGGAAAGAAGGATCTTCTCTGCAAAATAAGGCTCTTATTCTTCAACGGGACCTGCCCTTGTATTTTCCTCAATACTTGATAAGCTATCACTTTGGTAGGTACAAAGGTCTACAATCATACATCCCTTTGAAGGAACAGAGACTACATAAATCACAAAAACCAAATTCATAATGAGGTATATGGAAATCTGCTGCTCAGGCAAAACAGTCTG